CATCATTTTCCCGAAATAATATGATTACACATGCTAACTTTACACTTTTGGTATGGTTGCATCGCACACACAAGTAAAATTGAGCCTTGAACAACACAGCTTTAAACTACATGGGTCCACCTATATGCAGATATTTTTTCTATAAATACAGAAATTGCTTTAAATGTTATTTTCTCTTTCTCGTGATTTTAATAATATTTTCTCTTCTCTAGCTTACTTATTGTAAGAATACAGGTTATATTACATAGAACATACAGAATATGTGTTAATCGACTGTTTATGTTGTCATTAAATCTTCTGGTCAACAGTCGTCCATTAGTGAATTTTGGGGGAGTTAGAAGTTGTACATGGATTTTCGACTCTGGAGGTGTCAGTACCCTTAAGCAACCACCCCCCACCACCACCATTGTTCAAGGGTCAACTGTAATTACACCCAGGAGTCTGGTTCATCACGGCCTTGTTACACAAAGTGTCATGTATTTGCAACTTTAAGTTAGTCTAAGTCTTACAGAATGATTGGCAGAAACATTGCACCCCACAAAAAAAAAAAAAACCTTTGATTCTATAATATATGCAAACACAACACGACACAAATCACATGTTAAAAATTCTAGTATCAAACCCGCCCCCTTCCTGGAATCCCTTTCACACCCAGCTGGCCCGGATCACTCATTTTACACACTTCTCCAGCAAGGTTAAAGCGAACGCAGAAAGCAAAGGCACGCGGGCTGACTGCAGAGCCACGGCTGACTTACACACTCCTCATAAAGGAAAGCTCAGGCCAACGCTGGGCCACAGCCACTGCTTCTGCCTCCCCGTCTGAGTTGCTCAGAAAGAAAGACAGGAAGAAAGCCCCACGGATTCCATCAGACACCTACCGCTATCGAACCAGAAGATGTGGCAACAAACACTTTGATAACCATTTTGACAGTCGGAAAGAGGGCTCCCCCCAACACACCCCCGTGAGGGGACGCGGCGCTAGACGGATCCCGACCGCGGCCCGGCAGAGCAGGTAGCAGGTGCCAGGTGCAGGTAGCAGGTGCCAGGTGCAGGTGCAGGTGCCAGGTGCGAGCTGGCGGCCGCCCAGCGCCGTCTGAGCCCCTGCGCCTCCCTCCGCAACTTAAGCCCTGCGCCTGCCCCAGCGGCGCGGGCAGCGCGGACTTCCTAGGCCATTGGCCCGGGACGAGGGGGATCCGCCAGGCGGAGACGGGATTGGTTGATAAAAGCGGCCACTGACTTTGAACGCCCGACAACAGCCCCTACAAGGCCAGGCTGCGCCGCGCACCAATCAGGCCGCCGCGCACCAACCAGGCCGCCGAGCACCAACCAGGCCGCCGAGCACCAACCCCGCGCACCCGGGCGCAGGGAAGGCCCAGGAGACCCCAGCTTCGTCCCCGAGGACGCCGTGAATGAGAGGCTTTCTGCAAACAGACTGCAAGGGTCCGCAGTGAGCCACACGGGCCTTGAAATAAGCAAAGGCTTCCTGCACTTTCAAGTTTTCCGACCCGTTTAAAAAAAAAAAAAATTCGGTGAACTCATACAATAGATGCCTTTGTGTGTGGCCCGTTTCCAGTTTTCTCCCCTTACCACCTGCTTCTCCTAAAGAACAGAAGCTGACAGGCCGCAGACGTATAAGGTTTCACTGACATCCCAGACAAGGCAGAGCGGCAGAGGCGGGCTGTCAGCAGGGATGATTTCAACAAGTTAAATGTCTTCACTCTTTCAGAGACGTTGGGAGAAAATAAATGTCTGTAACAGTCTCTTATTTATGCAGATCATTAAATCCAGTAAAAAGCCCAAATGCTACCGCCCATTTTTCTAATGGGTTTCAAAATCAAGCTCAAGGACATATGAGATGAAGTCACCAGGGGGGTTATTTACTCCTCCTAGTTAACAGTCTCATTTGTTTCTCACTTTCTCGCTGTCTTTCCCTCTCCCTGCTTCCCTCTCTCTCTCTCTTTTTTTTTTTCTCAAGCCCCTGCTTCTCCCGAAGGCGGTGGTTGGTACTGTCATGCTGGAGCGAGGAGGGGTCTGTAGGCCTTCTTTACCTGCCCCCTTCACCTGAGTCCCAGGGCCCTGGAGGCCCCCTGCCCTCCCATAGGATGGGTGTCTGATGAGAAAGGACACCCCACCCCTGCAGCATAGCTCAAATTCATCTACATCAGAAAGAATGATTGAGAAAACCACCTTTTATTTTATTTAGTTTTTATTTTTTTAATAAATTAATTTTTATTGGTGTTCAATTTACCAACATACAGAATAACACCCAGTGCTCATCCCGTCAAGTGTCCCCCTCCGTGCCCGTCACCCATTCACCCCCACCCCCCGCCCTCCTCCCCTTCCACCACCCCTAGTTCGTTTCCCAGAGGTAGGAGTCTTTATGTTCTGTCTCCCTTTCTGATATCTCCCACACATTTCTTCTCCCTTCCCTTATATTCCCCTTCACTATTATTCATATTCCCCAAATGAGTGAGAACATACACTGTTTGTCCTTCTCCGATTGACTTACTTCACTCAGCATAATACCCTCCAGTTCCATCCACTTGAAGCAAATGGTGGGTATTTGTCGAGAAAACCACCTTTTAACTTACAGCCTCACTATGCAAAGTTTACTCCCAAAATTAGGCCCTTGGTGAAGATGGTTAATGGCTCCCCAAATTTAAGTCATTAGCATTATAAATTTTATTTTTAAACCCACCAATGATTATAGGTCATTTTTGCTCCTCTTCTTTCCTTTAATTCCAGAATTGTAAAGTAACCTTATACCGTTTTTGTCATACAAAGTATTTTCTTCAACACCTTAGTCTCAATTTCTACCACACGAGCATGCCACTTTTCTCCAAATATGATTTAAGAGAGTAATAAACCATGCATATTTCTCAATGACTTTGTAAGTCAGTAATAAACTATAGCTGATTCTCATGAGCCCTAGGGAATATACAACTGCTAATCATATGGGGCAACACTGCCTTGGACAATGACACGCCCCCTCCATCCACATGCCCTAGGGAGAAAGAATAGCCTACTTAAAGTAAGAATTAACCATTTTTAAGTGTTTCCCAAGTGCCAGAACTTCCTTAAGTGCTTTACAGAAACCACTCCTTTAATCTGCACGACACTAACAGTGGGTTCTACTCCTATCGCTCCTTAAGGATGAGGACAGGAGGGGCACCTGGGTGGCTCAGTGGTTGAACCTCTGCCTCTGGGCATGATCCTGGGGTCCTGGGATTGAACTCCACATCAGGCTCCCTGCACAGAGCCTCCTCTTCCCTCTGCCTAGGTCTCTGCCTCTCTCTCAGGGCCTCTCACCAATAAATAAATAAATAAATAAATCTTAAAAAAAAAGTAAAAATAAAAGGATGAGGACAGAAAATGGTGCATTCACGACATGAGCCCAATTCATCTATCTCCAGGCCATACCAGAAAAACTCCTGACACTACCCTCACATTCCTAGTGCACCCTCTGTGCACTACGGATAATTTTTAGAACTTTATCCTTTTAACAATGACAATGAAAACATACAAATTAGAAATTTGAAAACTCTAGCTGATAGATCTTTTCATTTATGACAGTGACACCAATAAACTTCAAGATAATTTTTTTTCAAGATAATTTTTTAACTATTTATTTTTTATTGGAGTTCAATTTGCCAACATACAGCATAACACCCACTGCTCATCCCATCAAGTGCCCCCCTCAGTGCCCATAACCCAGTCACCCCCACCCCCCACCCACCTCCCTTTCTACCACCCCTTGTTCGTTTCCCAGAGTTAGGAGTCTTTCATGTTCTGTCTCCCTTTCTGATATTTCCCACTCATTTTTTTCTCCTTTCCTCTTTATTCCCTTTCACTATTTTTTATATTCCCCAAATGAATGAGACCATATAATATTTGTTCTTCTCTTATTTCACTCAGCATAATACCCTCCAGTTCCATCCACGTTGAAGCAAATGGTGGGTATTTGTCGTTTCTAATGGCTGAGGAATATTCCATTGTATACATATACCACATCTCCTTTATCCATTCATCTTTCGATGGACACCAAGGCCCCTTCCACAGTTTGGCTATTGTGGACATTGCTGCTATAAACATCAGGGTGCAGGTGTCCCACCAACTTCAAGATAACTAATAAGAATATCAAACATTCCAAGGAAGTCTTACAATAAAGCTCACCAAATCTCTGCCTTAGAAAATTCACTTCAGGTATAAGCTGTGTGCTTCAGTAAAAGGCAGAAGGCTTATCATTTCACATCCCTAGTCCCTGATGCTAAGTGAAATAATAATACCTTTTTTTTCAAAAATTTTTCAGCTTTGAGGTATAATTGACAGATAAAATCATAAGATACATTGTGGTGACTTGAGGAACATACACTATGAAAAAATGATTTTGTCGAATTTTAATGATAAAAGTGTGAGATATTGACTCCAAACTTCACAGAGATCCTGAGATGATCTTAGAATAAATGTTATCAGATGCTATGCTTTGGTCTACATAATGTTATAGGCAACCTAAAATGAAAAATAAAAGCATATTTTTATCATGTAGAATGACAGTGGTGACCATCAGAGTAACAGCAGTGAGTTGAATAATGTCCCCCCCCAAAAAAATTCATGTCTCCCCTAAACTTCAGAATGTGACCTTGTTTGGAAACAGGATCTTTGCAGATGAAATTGGTGAAGGATCTTAAAATGAAATTATCCTGGATTTCAGGTGGGCTGTAAGCCATATAACTGATGTCCTTACAAGAAAAAAAGGCACACAGAGAGACACGGATAAAACATCGTGTGAAGACAGGGATGGGGAGAAGAGTGGTGCTGCCACAAGCCAAGGAACATCAGGAGCCAGAGAGGCAAGGAAGGATTCCTCCCAGGAGCTTTCAAAGGGAACATGGCCCTGCCAACACATTGACTTCAGACTTCTTTCCTCCAGAACTGGGAGAGAATAAATTTCTGTTGCTTTAGGCCACCAGGTCTGTGGTGACTTGTTATAGTGGACTTACCCAAACTAATACAGAGGAATAAAGGCATATGTTGATATGTAGCAGAATTACTAAAGGCATTTCTTCAGCTCTGTACTCCTTGGGTCTCTCTCCCCTAGATGGAAAAGAAGCAGAAACAAATTCTATAGATTGAGAACAGCTAGCAAAGAAGCAGAGAGACCATTTGGATGGGAAAGGAAGCTCTGAGGGGCCCCCATCTTTCAGGTTCCTCCAGTCCTGAGTACCAGGGTTGGGAGGTTCACTTAATAATAAACTGTCACTTCTGTTACTTTTGTTACTGTCCTGGAAGCATCACCAGCCATACATCAGGCATCTTTCCAGGAATGTCAAGTCTAGGGACACTTGTCTGCTGTATGTCATCCTAGAGATGCTGCCCAGATCACCCCCGACAAAAAGCACCACCACCCACCTTCTAGGATTAACTCACCACCTAAGGTTGTAGAAATACAGCCCACCAAAATTAAGAATGGGTCCCCTAACAGCACAAGAAGGAAGGAAGTAGTGACATGAAGGGGAAGCCTTGCCCCCTACCTACCCTAAAAAACTAGATCTAAACAGAGTCACTTTGGAAATGCCCACTACCCCTACTACATAACATGTAAATCAAAAATCATAAATAGAAAATGTGATAAATTTAACTCTACACAAATATCGAAATGCACTCTAAACAAAATTTGAAAGTATTTGACAAACTGGGGGAAATATTTACAACACAAACCACACACCAAGTTTTCATACAGCAAATCTAAATTTCTGAGAACATTGGGATCCCTGGGTGGCGCAGCGGTTTGGCGCCTGCCTTTGGCCCAGGGCGCAATCCTGGAGACCCGGGATCGAATCCCACATCGGGCTCCCGGTGCATGGAGCCTGCTTCTCCCTCTGCCTGTGTCTCTGCCTCTCTCTCTCTCTCTCTGTGACTATCATAAATAAATTAAAAAAAAAAAAAACTTTCTTTTAAAAAAAATAAAAATAAATTTCTGAGAACATAGAAAGTTCTACAAAGATGGACACTGAGTGAAAAATGGGCAAAAGGCAGGAAAAAGAAAATCACAATGTATACATTACAAAAAAATTGAAAAAATGTCTATCCTTCCTAAAAAATACGTGAATAAAATCAAAGTAAAGTGTCAACTTTTTACAATAAAATGGGCAAACATTTTTTAAGAAATTAAAAAGATTATCCCCAATGTGGGTTAAGGATTGGGCCGCATTTGCCTGGAAGGCAAACTTTCATATACCTTCAGAAAGCCTTAAAGTGAACATTTCCTTTGATCCTACAGTATCACATGTAGGATTTATTCCAAGGAGTCAGGAGTGACCTCTGCTAACCTTAAACATAAAACTAGCAGTTATTTTGCCAACAGATGGGTTTAGTTAGGAGTAACAAAGAATTCCAACTTGGGAACTATATAGCAAAACTTCAGGCAAGTTCAACAAACAAAGAAGAGGAACATGATTTTATGGAAAAGAAAGAAGTTGGGAGGGATTCAAAAGTCCACCTGAGAAAGCAAGAGTTCAGGGTGATGACTTTCTCATTGACTGAGTTATAGGGGTGGCCAATTTCTTGTAGGAGATGCAACAGGTATCTTTCCCTGTTGGGCCCATAACTGATCATTCTTTCCTGTTGACACTCTTCTGTTGGAAACTGTAACTGACACTTCTGTGGGAGACTGTAATTGAGTGGTAAGGGCTCCCCCTTGTAGCCTCAGACCTACATTAGCGATGTTTTCCCCTTTATTAATTTTCACACCTCAAAGATTCACTTATAGGGATATTCAACATTGGCATTAATACAATGTGGGTTGGGGGGGAGAAAAGAAAGGAAAAGCGAGGAGGAAAAGGAGAAGCAGTAATATATGTGTTAATGCTGCCTATGCAGTCCTTTAAAATTCCTGTGTCATCATTAAAAATCACCTACAATCATCATCTAGGTGATTTTTTTTTTTGGTAATTTTTTAAAACATTTTATTTATTTGAGAGAGACAGAGATACAGACAGAGATAGAGAGAAGAGAGCACCAGTGAGGGAGGAAACGGAGAAGCAGGGTCCCCACTGATCAGGGATCCCAAGGGGGTGGGGGGTAGGGGGAGTAGATCCCAGGGCCCTAGGATCATGACCTGAGCCGAAGGCCCACACTTAATCCACTGAGCCACCCAGACGCCCCCATCTAGGTGATTTTTAATTTTCCTTCCTACTTTGCTGTGCATTCTAAATTCCCTACATTGCTTTGCAAGCAAGATTTTCTTTCACCAAAGAAATTCATCTTTATAAGGAGAGGTCAGCCGGAGTGTTCTGCTCTCTGTCCACTTCTGCAGGCAGAGGCATCGATTCTACACCTGCTCACCTGGGCCCACCGCCCTCCCCGGGGGGAACCCGGCGTCTACACCTGCCTGCCCAGCAGCCCACCTGGAGCGCGCTGCTCGGGGTCCGTGCGCCTCCGGGCAGGGAACCAGACATGCGCACTGGACTCGGATTCAAACCACCAGTACGTGGCCGAGCGCGAACGAGAGCGCGAAGGGACAGCGGCGCTGCCGCGGGATCGGCGCGTCAGCCCCAGGGCGGCCGGGGCGAAGGCGGCGGCCCCGAGCTCCGAGCCCCCGCGGCGGGAGGCCCCGGCCCGCGTCTCTCCGGCTCAGCTCTCCAGTGCGCAGGCGCCGCCCCGCCCCCGGCCCCGCCGGTCCCAGGAGGCTCCGCGCCGGGTTTCCATGGCGACGCGCGGGCGCCCCGAGGCTGGCGCTGCGGCGGGAGCGCGCGGAGCAGGTAACGGCCCGGCCCCAGGCGGGGCCTCGCTCAAGCCTCCGGGCCGCCCGGTGCCGCCGTCCCTCGGCTCTGGCCCCTGCCCAGCTCGGGCCGCGCCGCCTCGCTCTCACTGCGGCTGGTAACGTAGCGGGGCCGCCGGCCGCCGCCTCTCGCAGAGCGCGCCCTCCCCGCCGCGACCCGGCGCCTCCGCCCTCGCCCGTCCCCCCGCGCCCCCGGAGCCCCTCCGCTCGCGGCCGGCCGCCGGGCCTTCGGGCGGGGGCGGCCCCGACGGGCCCGGGGACGGCCAGGGACAGGCTCCGGCCGGAGACCCCGAGGCGTCAGCCCCGCCCCCACCCGCACCTCCACCTGCGGGCTCGAACCCGAGACCCCGAGGCGGCCGAGCGCCGCTGTCAGCCCCGCCCCCACCTGCACCCGCATCCCCACCTCCACCCCCACCTGCGGGCTCCGCTGTCAGCCCCGCCCCCACCTGCACCCGCATCCCCACCTCCACCCCCACCTGCGGGCTCCGGCGGAGAACCCCGAGGCGTCAGTCCCGCCCCCACCTGCACCCGCACCCCCACCTGCGGGCTCTGCCGGAGACCCCAGGCGGCCGGGCGCCGCTGTCAGCCCCGCCCCCACCCCCCCCTGCACCCCCCCACCTGCGGGCTCCGGCCGGGGACCCGGTGGCGGCCGGGCGCCGCTGTCAGCCCAGCCCCCACCTGCACCCGCATCAGCACCTGCGGCCTCAGGCGGAGACCTCGAGGCGTCAGTCCCGCCCCCACCTGCACCCGCACCCCCACCTGCGGGCTCTGGCCGGAGACCCCGAGGCGGCCGGGCGCCGCTGTTAGCCCCGCCCCAACCTGCGGGCTCCAGCCCCAGACCCGAGGCGTCAGTCCCGCCCCCACCTGCACCCGCACCCCCACCTGCGGGCTCTGGCCGGAGACCCCGAGACGGCCAGGCGCCGCTGTCAGCCCCACCCCCACCTGCACCCCCACCCCACCTGCGGGCCCCGGCGGGCACTTTCATCCTTCCCTGAATCCGGTGCCTGCAGGCTCCCGGCTCCCACCCGCTTTAGCTTTGTTTTGCTCCCCCCACCCCTCACCCTAGCGCTGCCGTCTGCTTATCCCCAGCCCGAGGAGATGTGGATTCTTTGAAATGTCTGCCCTGTGCGTGTTCCTGGCTCGCTCAGCCTTGGAGCCCTTTGTGCACAATTTCCCCGTCGCGCTGTATCATTTCGTTACCACCCTTGTGCCAACAGGTGACTTTGTTAAGACGGGTTTTCCCCGACTGACCGTGAACCTGTTCTCTGCCTACACTCGCTCCCTCGATGAATTCATCCAGTCTCATAAAGACCAACGAGCCCCTAAAGTGTGTCTCCAGCCCTGACCCTCCCCGGGACCTCAGACCCAAGTACTCAGAGGCCTGCCCACATCTACGCTTGGATCTCTAAGGCAAGTCCTGACGTTCCCTCACACCTGTTCCCCCTGCACTTTTACCCACCCCGTTACTGGAACCCGCTGTCCAGGCCTTGAGGCCCTCCTTGACTCCTGTTTTCCCCTCCCCACATGCAGTCTGTCAACACATCCTTCATAGCATCCCCTGAACGGATGCACAGCCCCACCTTTTCTGCCAACCCCCACCTCCCCCAGCCCCGTACAGGCCACGGGCATCTCCTGCCTGGATTGCTTCCGCAGCCTGCTGATTGGTCTCCCTCTCCTGGAATGTGGACATCCTTACCCTGTGTTCCCTGTCATTTCAGCTGATTACGGTTTTCTTTTAAGGATATGAATTTCATAATTTCCATAGATAAAAAAGTAACTTAGTATGTGTTTCGAAGGTTTTTTGTAAACAGGTAGCCAAAGCTACATAAACACTGCGCTGTTAACAGGCTAAGCATGGAAAGATGCCCCTTAGCTTTCTTGGGCATATGACTGTGCCTCTGCCTATGTCTCTGCCTCTCTCTCTCTCTGTCTGTCATGAATAAATAAAATATTAAAAAAAGAAAGAACTTTGACAAGAACTTTAAAATTGTACAGAAGAGTAAAACAATACAGAGCCTCCTGCCAACTGAGAAAAAGAAGACATGTAGGAATTTAGGTTCTATTTATTCCCTACATTTTCGTTTTTGGGTTTTTTTTGGTTTTTTTTGTTTTTTTTTTTTTTTTTTAGAAAGCACCAAAAGGGGCAGCCCTGGTGGCTCAGCGGTTTGAGCGCTGCCTTCGGCCCAGGGGGTGATCCTGGTGTCCCGGGATCGAGTCCCACGTCGGGCTCCCTGCATCCAGCCTGCTTCTCCCTCTGCCTGTGTCTCTGCCTCTCTCTCTCTCTCTGTGTGTCTCTCATGAATAAATAAATAAAATCTTTAAAAATAATAAATAAATAAAATAAAATAAAGCACCAAAAGAGGCAAATTGAAATGGAGACAAGTGATCATCCCAGTGCTGGTCATTTTGACAGTGAGTGCCTGGGTGCTGGTTCTCCAGTCAGTGGGTCACAGAGTGACACAGGGATTGATAGGACAGGTCCTTGCCCTCAGGGAGCTAATGGCCCCCACGCACCTGTACCTCCCAATCACAGACCCCCAACTCCCATTTTTTTTTTCTTCTTCCATCAAGTGAAACCCCAGTTGACCAAAGCAGCATGGCAGGATTGCTGCAGCCTGTGGAGGGTCTAATAGGATATCATAAGATACTGCAGATCATAAACCCCCCACTCAAATTTGATCTCACACTGCTGTCACTTGCTAGAGGAACATGAAGCTACCTGACAGGAATCTCCTCCAGCTACCACAACTGCAAGCCTTACCTACCCCTCCTAGCCAAGGCCACCCTTCCCTGTGCTTTGGATCTCATCCCCACCCACTTGCCAGAATCCTTCCGCTTTTATTATCAGCTGTCACCTGTTCCATCTCAGCTGGCTCTTTCCCTTGGCTTTTAAACATGCTCCAGTGTCCCATCACAAAAGAGAAAAAAATCTCCCTTGACCCCATGTGCCCCTTCATTTTCCAGCTATTGCTCAAACTCTCATTCCCTTCAACAGGCAAACTTTTTTAAGAATTGCCAACTTCCGGGATCCCTGGGTGGTGCAGCGGTTTGGCGCCTGCCTTTGGCTCAGGGCGCGATCCTGGAGACCTGGGATCGAATCCCATATCGGGCTCCCGGTGCATGGAGCCTGCTTCTCCCTCTGCCTGTGTTTCTCCCTCTCTCTCTCTCTCTCTCTCTCTCTCTCTCTCTCTGTGACTATCATAAATAAATAAATTAAAAAAAAAAAAAAAAGAATTGCCAACTTCCATGCGTCCATTCCTTGTGTCTCTCATCCCTTAGGCCACTCTAGTCTGCCTTCCACCCTTATCTTTATACAAAACAAAACCACTGATCAGACACTTCTGGGCCTCTTCTTGCTCAATCTCTTGGCAGCATTTAAATTTGACACTCTGCTCCCATCTCTTGAAACACTGTCTTCCTTTGGCCTCTGTGCCCCCCTCCACTCCCACCTCTTTCTGCTTTTCCTATAGCCATGCTGGCTCACTCTCCTGGGCTCCTTAATACTGCAGTTCCTCAAAGCTCAGTCTGTTTTCATCGCGTTCTTTCCCCATGCCCCCATATTCTGACATTAGGCACAAACCCATGCCCACCGTCTCTAGGCTGTGGACTCCCAACTTAATCTCTCCAGCTTGGCCCTCTTTTCTGAGCTGACCTGTATGTCCAGCTGGCTTATTGACCTTGCCTCTTAATTCCTCTCAGAGACCAACTCCATGTGCAGAAGACCAATCTCCCACCACTCCTCCCAGCTGGGACCTCTTCCATTGGCAGCTAGGATTCCTCCTTGACCTTTACCGTCGCCCCTTTGCCCAGTGGCTCACCGAGCCCTGGTGACATCACCTCCTGTACATGTTTCACTACTTTTAATTGCCACTGGCACTTAGTCCAAACTGCCACCTTCTTTCACCAGCCTTCTGAAATCCTCCCCTGTATTCTCTTCTCCACACTGCAGCCAGAGTAACCTTCAAGAAGCAGAACAAATTATGTTATCTCTTCCCTTTACTCACTGCTAGCTTCCTGTTGCTCTTGAATTAAACCTGCCCTCCTGTGACTGCAGCTGCTCACCCTCACTTACCTCTGGAGACTCATTGGGAACCACGGGGACCCAGCCACATGGGCCTTATCTATCCACCAGGCCTTGGAACTTTCTTTTCTCTCCATCCGCAATGTACTTCCTTCCTACACTCCATTCCTTTTTGCATGATTACTTCCCACTGACCTGTCATATCTCTGCTTAGATGGCCCTTCCATAGAACTTCCAAGGTCACTGTCTGGATCAGGTTTCTTTGACATATATCTCCACAGAGTTGTATCTCTTTCCTCTAAAACACTTAGAACAGTCACTATTGTGATTATTTTATTACCAGCATATAAGCAACATGAAAAAAGAAACGTTTGTGTTCATTACATCCCCCATGCCTCAGACAGTTCCTGGCACATAGAAAGCTCTCAAATATGTGTTGAAAGAATGCATAAAATTAACATTTTAATGTGTAAGATATATCAAGAGTAGGGTACTTTAGTACAATTTATTAAAACGGAATAAAATTCTAGTAAAAAATAGGTCAACACTGAGAATTAAAAAGAAATGTGGCAGTGGCCAGGAGGGGGAGCTGAAAATTTACACTTCTAGAAATTTAGCTCCAGTATTTGTTAGAGTCATGCGGTCTGTCGCACTTGGCACCACTTGGCGGAAGTAGAGAGGCACAGCTTCTCCTTTCTCATCCTGAAGACACTTCTTTGGAATACTCAGCCTGGTAATGAATTCAAGGCTTTTGTCAAAAGTAAATAAAACATATCAAGTTGTTAAATAATCAAACCTACTCACTTGTCTATTC